AGTTGGTGGCTACGGAGGAGAGGGTGTCCAGTGCCAGAGCAGCAGTGTAAGCCGCCAGCCTGAGAGAGCAGGGAGAGAACAGAGACACACAGACTAGACACCAGGGTGACTGTGACAGAGGAAGGGTGGCTCGGACGAGAGCATGCAGAGGGATTAGTTGGCTTAGAAAATTCACACAAACATAGACAAAGCAACTAAAAAATAGCAACTATTAAGCCTAGTGAGAAAAAAACAAAGAAGAAAAAGAGGGCGTCATGCTGTGAGTGAACATTAAAGGATACATCCCATACACACACCAACATGGAGTACACTGACTAGGAAAACTGAAGTACTTAAAAAAGGCACCAGCCTTCCTGCGTAAAACTACAGCACCACGCAGAACCACCTATAAGGGTTAAACAGTACCAGTGACAATCTCATACTGCGTAATCTAATTTTTCCAGACTGCTGATATGAGATGGTTTGCTGAGGTTGTCAAATGGCTTCATGAGTTGACCACACTTGAGAGGACAAAAGCCTTTCTGTGTCTTTGACTGGTATTGCTTCAACCTTCATGTAATGAGACAGAAAATTTCCAAAAGCTGGAGAAAAAACACAAAGTACAGTAATCCCTCTGTAAGGGAGTAAAAACAGAAAAGCAACACAGTCCAGTGGACTCCACTCAAGAATGACCTTGACTTTTAAAACATTTTCAGGGTCAAATTTTGTCCTGTTGAATAACGTGATTATTCTTTAAAGTGGAGTGCAGTGTACGACAGCTAAAGAGACTGGAGCGGTAAAAAGGCTGGGTGCTGTTTGTCAGCTTTTACTCACTCTGGCTCTGTGAGAGGTGTAGTTTCATTGGGTTCCATCGGTCCCGCTGCGTTATGATTGGCTGTGCATTCGTCCTCTGTTCTGACTTCCACTATTGGCTCTTTGGATTCATCTTTCCTGTGAGAGAGACACAATGATCTTTGTAGAATAACAAGACATGATCTGAAATGACAGCTGTTGCTTCTGGTCCAATAAGCATTCGGAAAAGGTGATGCCGGAGCAGTGGGCAGTGATTATGTCGACACAGATTGAATCCTGTGAGCAAGGGGATTCATCAAAATGTTTAAGCTTCCAACCGACCACTGTCAGTCCTATAACCAGCGAATGCCAATGTGTTCGTGGAGGTGTGTGTGCAGTCCCCACACTGAACAGCTGTCTGACACTATTTGAGGACAAGTTGGTCAATTGCAGGATGCCTCAGTGTAGACCTTCGAAATCAGCCGTCTTTACTTTTTTCCCCATAAGATCCACACTGGCAGGACAAAGTCAACAGGAGAGCCAGTTTCACCACAGAATACCAAAAGTGCACCTTTGACTCAAAATCAGTAACCAAAACTACAGTACTGTTGTGCAAGTACGCAGCAGTCTGATGGCATGAATTAATTTTTGTAAGATTTTAGTAAAAGTGCAAATGGAGCGTTTTGATTGTATGATGTCGTCAGCCTGACCCCTGAAATAAGGCCTATCATAGAAACTTAGAAATGATCCATATTTGCATAAATCCATGCTTCATTCTTTGACTACATCTGTTGCCATGCGGAAATGTGAAAAGTAGCCGCAATCATAGCTGTCACACATATAACTTGTAGGTAATAAGGCCAATAAGCCCGGTAAAGCTCTCTGTCATGGAGCTCCTTTACGAGCTAAACTCCCACAAAGATCTCTGCTCGCCAACATGGAAGTGCCCGTCTCATGTGGTTGCTAAAGTATTAAAAAAAGGTGGCACACCCAGGTACTACGGTTAATCTACAGTACTTGAAGGGTGTGTTATGTAGGAAAATGGTGTCAGGTATCAGCATATACTACATTTTAAATTATTTGGATTGGGAGTAAAAGAAAAAACTTGATTGGGACATTCCTCGTACATATACATAAAACATAGTCTGTAGTATTTGTATCAATTATGGTAATTGGCTGCATTCTCATTACATAATAAGCCACCAGGTAAAGCTTGGTGAGCTATGCAATGAGTAACACGTCTTTCAATGAACATACAGGTGGGGATGCTATGCTGGTAACACAGCAAACAGTTTTTGGTCCAGGTCTCGAGTATGATTCATGAAGTCAACTTGCTTTTCACCACCAATCGATCCGACAGACACTAATGGTCGGGTGCAGACCAAATGGACCTCTTAAGTATTATTTAGTCATTGCTCTGTTTATTAAAGATGAGAATCAGGGCAACGACGACATTCAAGATATAGTCTAACTCCAACTGTCAGTTTCTATTAAGACTCACTTTGAATTTTACTTTACAAGTTAATTATCTACTGAGTTGAATTTTCACAGATGCAGACCATTAAACTGGTAAAATAAAATGTAAAAAAACTGTTGATTAAATCAGTCAATTACCAATAACCGACGAATATGTCCAGTCGCCCACCTCTAGTCAGTAATTTGAAGAAGTCTACCTTGCAGTGTTTTTGTGAAATTGGCAGCATGAAATGTAACACAAATCAATACACAATGCAACATCCCATTCAGACTGATTCAAAACTGCCTTTATGTGCACATGAGATTATTTGTTCAATGCTTCACTGAAACCCAACATCCTTAATAGTTTCACTGAAAGAGAAATCTGCTCTCAAAACTTCATCTCACTTAATGGTCCATTTTATTGATTCATGTATTCTTCCTGTTCCTTAGATACTGACTGAGCGGACCACAATGCAGTCATAAGACATGTTTACTGCACTCAAGAGGCACTCTGGCTTTTCTTTTTTCTTTTCTTTTTTTTTTTAATGAAAAAAAAACACTTCCCTGGATATCTTTTGATCTATCAGCCATGAACTTAAAATCTTCAGCTAAAATTCTTAATCATCTTCAATGTCAGGTTTTCAAAGGCCTTCTGGGTAATTAAGAAGTCGCTAATTAAAGTAGTAGAGTACAGCAGCTAAGGTAGACTTAGGCAAAATTTAAATGACAAAAAGATCAATTAAAACAACTTGGTTTAAAAAAAAAAGAAAAAAAAGAAAAGCACCTTGAATCCATAAACATCACTGACTGAACACTCTGCAAAGTCTACAAAAATGATTTTGTCATTCTTCTAACAAAAACCTGCATTAGAATGTTTTCCTATCACCTACTTAGATACAGTTGCAGACACTTGGCAGCATGAGGGTTGATTTGGAGTTATTTGTGTCCATCTGATGAAATTAAAGCGCATACGAATAGGAACTGGCAGTTGGAGTTGGACCGTCTCACGAGTGTTGTTGTTGCACTCTCTTTCACAAAACAGGAAAGTGACTAAATGAACATTTTTGCCATCTGTAGCGGTTGCTGTCCTATCAACTGGTGCTGTGAAACAACGTCAATTTATAAATCGGATTTGAGAACTGAACCAGAAACTGCGTGTGCATCCTGATCACTTAACAGCCCATATCCTCTCCACCTGTTTGTTTATTGAGAGAAGTGTTACTCATTGCACAGCTCGCCAAGCCTTTAACTGGTGGATTTTATGGCAGCTATTAATTATATGATAATGCAGCCAATATACGTAATTAAAAAAAATACTCAAAACAGCTATGCTATTCGCACACAAGATGGCAGTAGAGGCTACAAACACGGAAATGTTACAACCTGCTCAGACCTTTACTAAGGGCGGTGTTACCAGTTTTTGTGTTTGTAGTGATTTTCAGTTTTAGTGCTGTTGGACGGGTAAGTAGGGTCATTTAGGGTGATTAAATGTGTTATATATATATAGTACACTAAATTAGAAACATGCAAACTTTTCTCATTATTTATATTGATAAAGGGCTGGAAACTGTTGCCAAGTTGGAAAAAAAGTAGCGCTATAGTTTGGCTACGACAACATCTCATGCTAGCTAGTGTCATGAGCGCAGATAACAAAAACATCGATTTGATTTGAAAATTTGACACATTTCTATTCGTCGTCAATGGATGCAACCATTTGAAAAAATACATACAAACCTGCCCACCTGTTTGTTCCAAAATGCTAGCATATTTCCCAGTTCTAGCCTCCACCAACTCCTCAGGGGAAATATATGGCTCTTTAGCTGCTAAATGCTCCATGATGTTCATGTTTGTCTGTCTATTGTTTGGTGCTTGGCAAGTTTTATACATTCAGTTTATAGGAGCTTTTTCACAGACAGATGCCTTTTCTCGAAAGGACAATGATAAAAGAGCTGAGGCTGAATCAGAGCCGCTGAGATGCAGGCTGTAAAACCAAATCACAGATGCTATAAAACACTTTGTGGAGCTGAAGGGGAAATGTCGAGTCCCATAATTGTGATAATTCTCTCTCTCTAGGCTGTCAGTATAGGCAACCTTTTCACATTACACACAGGCAGCTTATCCATTCTTAACAAAGAATGATTGCATTGAATTTGAACTTTAAAATAAATAAACAAAAGGACATTTCGGACCAATCTTAGGTTCAACTTGGCCAGAGCTGACAGCTTAAAAGCAACAGGCGGCATGTATGTAAATGCAGTCTGTGATACTCACACGAAGGCTGCCTTGCCCTCCTCCAAGTTGTGCCCTTTTGTCCCCGTGCCCGATTTGCCGCAGAGACACATGATGAGGCCGCATTTGTTGACAAAGTAACAGGTGACATCCACAGCCAGCAGCAGGAGCACAAACACTACAACAAGGATCCCTGCCCAGAGCATGATGCCCATGGAGAGCGCGGCCTCGTCACCCAAATCTGCCAGACGAGAGACAGGAGAAGGGGGGAGCACTGAACAGCTGTAGCACGACGCACATTTATAGAAACAACCACAAGCAACTACATAAAGTGCTGCTACGTTACTGTAACCACAAGTACTTTCTTAAAACAGAAACAACTCACCTGCTCTGAGCACTGACACGTTCTAGTTGTCTCAGCGTGATTTCTGATGCGCTGTGTTGTGTTTGTGTTGAATTATTTATACAGCTTCATTTTAAATATGGGGGCTTGTTGGGTAATTTATGTGGAACTGACTGTATTAAAAGAAAGCATAAATATATTTTTATATTCAACCCATTTATTTGGTATTAGAAAGAAGAGCAAACCAAAGCTTACAATGTGTTGCAAGTTAACGAGACATGCAGGATATTTTGTGGACACAAAATGAATGTCAGGCGTTTTCCAGATATCACAAAAAAATGTGATTTATCTTTACAGTTTGTGTAAAGTCCATTTTTTTTTAAATATAGCAGAAAAACTGCACAACTCTCTAAAATATCTTCTGTTACATATATTACACACATTTAACTCTGTAGATAACAGTGATTAACAAGTAAACGACACTAAAATGCAGCTGAGTGAGGCACCCTCCGATTAAAAATGTAAAAAAAAAAAAAAAGAGAGAGACAACTATGTAATTCTCATAGACATTTGATAGACATTACATGCATGAGAAATATCTGGACATTTTTCTTAGTAATCTGCACAAAAATAAGTTTCCGTATGATAATTCTGTATATAGGTTGTCAACCTGTGCCGATATAAACATTACAAACATTTGTTTTTCAGTTAAGTCTTTCTCTGCTCGATAATGTAAACGTTAATGTTACAAACCTTTACAGCACATATGCATAATTTTGTGAGCCATTAAAGAATATGATACAGTGTTTATGTAAACGGACAGGTCCAGCACTCAGCCTTCACTCTGTTCTAAGTGCTATGTTTTTAAAAAATCATCTAATATCAATTCTACTGTAAACTGGCGCTCCTCTCTGTTGTCTAGTGCCGATGACTAGCTGTGCTAATGCTGAGCAGAGTGAATCTGTGGGAGGCGGAGGATTTCCACTGCCTTTGGTTCAGTGCGTCTGTCTGGTCTCTTCTGAAGCAACACGGCACCCTTTTCTCACCCATAACAGAGACACATCTGTCAGGGACAAAGTCTGTTTTAAGGAGTGAAAGCGTCCAGAGAGACAGCCAGGCCGGAGAAAAGGCAAGCTCTCCTCTACAGTTACGTGAATTCCCCATGAAAACTATGAGAGCAGGAGCACAGTGATGAGGGACAAGATGAGTGATACCAAAGTGCATGTCACAGATGAGCAGCCCTGAGTGGCTGGGGGGTGGGGACAGCACAACCCAGACCACACCAAAATGCACACAGGTCAGGACGAAAATGTTCACGTGGTCCACCACACCAATGTCCGGGACCAGGCAAGAGAGCAGGAACATTGAGAGAGAGAGAGAGAGAGAGAGAGGATAGGGGGAAAGAGAACATAGGAGGGGGGGAAATGAAGGGAAACAAAGAGGAAAAATAAGAGAAGGGTGGGGAAAACAGAGGAAGAGAGAAAGTGAAAATGTGTCAGGTCTGGAAACCAAAAGTGAAAAAAAAAAGGAAAAAAGAAACTGATTTCTTGCATTGAGGGAGGAAAAATACAGCGAAACATCAAAGCAAAAGCACGGCACAAAAGGGGAAAACTACACCATGTTGACTCGATGGTGACTCAGTGGTGGGTGAGTGGAGAATGCTTTAGTTTGGAAAATGAATTAGAAAAAAAGTGAGAGGGAAGACATAATGGCCTGCTGCGACGTTTCAGCGAAGCACTCAACAGTGTCTAGCACCTAAAGGGAATCTGACAGGCTGTGTGGGTTTTGCACTGTTAGTAAAAATCCTTCAGCTGCAGTTAAAAACCTCAATGAGCATGTTAATCGGCGGTTATCGGGGGTCATTTGAAAGGCTCCTTCCAAACAGAGGCAAGCTGTCCACTCGAACTGCTATTCTAACAGTAAACAAAGCTAAAAACAAGCTACAGTCATTCAGACGAAATCACTTCATCCTCTGTGGAATGTGCCTGTCCCAGTTCTGCGAGCACAAACTCAAGCTCATTTAGCGAGTGCTGTCAAAACTTTAAAGTGAGAAAATTCAGCCGGAAAATCATTTCTGGCTCACCGCCGTCCAGGAAATCTATTTTTTTCCTGCAGATTTATTTAGTTGTCATTCACCTTTCAGCGCTAGAGTGTTAAAAATAGAACGTGACGCTCTCTCGGCTTTGAGTTTGTCTCCTCAGTTTTCTGGCTGTTTAGTTCCAGTTTAGTGTGAGTGGCCTGAGGTGGGTGGGGAGGGAGGGAGGGGAGGGTACCTGGGATGGCTTCTGGCTGCGAGGACGTCCTGAAGGACATGGTTGCTGGCTGGGACTTGCCCTTCTGATTCTCTGCCACCACGTAGACATCGTACTCTGTGTCCCACTCCAGCCCGCTGAGAAACACGTAGTCGCTGCCACTGGGAAGCCGGATTTCTGGTTTCCAATCTGACGCTCGTATCTGAGGACACACATGAATATGCAGTACATGCATTTAGGGCTACATCTAGCGCTTGCTTTCATTATCTATTAACCTGCAGTTGATGTTCCTTGAAAAAAATCTTTTGATTGTTTGGAAAAGAGGCTCAAGGTGATTTTTTCTATGCCACAGTAACGTCATCAGATTGCTTGAAACCCAATGATTTTCAGTTTGTGTTGTAAGATGGGGGGAGGAAAACGCAGAGATATGAGCTTAGAGAGGCTTGAATTATCACCATTTTTTGACATTTTTGCTTGAAAAAAATAGCTTAAATAATTGAGCACTTATCAAAACAGTTGCCGATTCATCTTCTGGCAAATAATAATTCAACTCCAAATAATTTCAGCCACACATTCTGAAAGAGAAGGTTTTGATGTGACAGAAATAGACAATTTGCACAAGTTTTAAAGATATTGGAGCAATAGAGCTTTGTTAGAACTCTCATTGGAGCTTCAGTAAAAAGCAACTAGACTGGTATTTGGTTCCTGGAGATGTTTCACCTCTTTCTAAGCTCAGAACTGAAGAATGACCAGAAAGTCAACACAGACATCCCTCATTAGGGCTTCAGCTAATAAAATATTTTCACGTTAAGTTCTCAATGAACAGGTAATAACTAATTGTTTGGTATATAAAATATTGACAAATACCCATTACAATATCCCAGAACCACACAGATATTAATTTACAATCATAAACGACTGAAAACAGGCAAATATTTAGAGTAGTTTTGGCATTGTCTTTAAAACATCGCTGTAGCGGAGTTTCGCACTAATCACAATACTCACTGGTTTGTAACGAACAAGATAATGTAGGATGGGAGAGCCGCCATCGTCCTGCTTGATCCAGCTGACTTTGAGGGAGTTGCCTTTAGGGTGAAGAACCCCTTCGAGTTTAGGAGGATTGGGATTCCCTACAGGCACACCAGAGCAAGACACGAGTTATATAAACGCCCATTTAAAAGATGCAGAGAACTACAGGGTTACTTTGGGGGAAGAGGCTGAGTCACTTCTGTCAGTCCACCTTTAAAAATTGTGGAACAAAGAAAAAGAGAATAACTCCATTAGAATTTTAAAGAAAGTCCAAACTTTGAATCTGGTCGTCCTCCTTGTTGTTGTCCTTTTAGGTCACTTGACCTTCCTTAAACGCTCGCCTCGAGGTGGTCTCGAGTTGGACTAATTAGAAAATGACACACAGCCACATGCTTATCTGATTCATCCGAGTTGCTGCGTATTTCTGCTGTTTATGAACGACTTTCAATTGGCATAGAAACTGCTGACTGACATCCCAACAGTGCCACACAGGGATTCAGGATTATTCCTCATTACCTGATATGTTTATGTAGGATTTGCATTTCACACCGTAATAAATGGGTTTGCCTGAAATAACCGCTGGATGAAGTCGGTGGAATACAGCGAAGCTATGTTTTGTCCTAAATGAATAACTCAAACTGAACAAATAAGACTGATTTTCAAATTGATGTTATATTATAAACTTCACATATTCAATTCTTTGCTCTAGTGCTGACACAGTGTCTGATTGTTCTCCTCTGACCTGTGGACGTCCTCAGGAGCCAGTCTTTAAAGCAGCACAATCAATGTGCAATTAATGTGCAAGTTTAGCGGTTGTTTATCAATGCTACAACGATGTCCAGCTTTATTCATTTGTGAAACCTGAAGGACTTAGAAGTTTGGCCATTAAAGGAATCAGTGCCTGAACGTCCCGGTTTCCTGCAGTAAAATCAGAACAAAACTTACATTTTTCTGTCTTTGTCCCAAATGAGACACTTAAAATTCAGCAGCTAATGTAGTTTGCCTCAAACCTTCAGGGTCGTTTTGATTCCCAATTCAATTTTGTGAAATGTCTTTGGTCATTAATTCATTCCTGTTATTTTTTAATCAATAAACATTGCCAAAGTATGCAGCTTGTCATCTTTCCAACAGCTCAGACTAATCATGCCTTGTTTTGTCTCCTCACATTTTAACTATTAAACTGCACTGTATTGGATTCTTGTTTAGGCTGAGAAGCTGTAGCACTTATTCAATTAGTTTCAAATTCTGCTGCATGAATGCTAACAACGGTACATCTCGGAGGCAGTCTTCGCTACACTGGCTTCCTACCAAATTACGGACTGATATTTTCTATTACGTTTAAGGCATTATGCAATTTGGCTCCACTACATACAGACGTGTTGCTGATCTCCTACAGGTCCACAAGACCTACAGAGACTCCTGCTTGTTTTCACCTTAAAGTTCAAGATTAGTGTTGGCGAGCTTGCGCTGTACAGACTCCTTGATTATGGAGAACTCTCCCTCTGGGAGTCAGATCAGCACACAGAGTGCTTTAAATCTCATTTCAAGACCTACTTATTCTCAAAAGCATTTTATTGATGTGCCCTCGCCTCAGTATGTTCGTCTTCTTTAACAAATTCTGCTCATCTTCAACTTAAATATTAATTAGAACGGGTTTTTTTTAGCTTCTCTTCATAAATGTGAATCACTTTGTGACCCTGGTTTAAAACTAAGTAACTAGCTGCAGCTAATAATGATGTTTATTATGAATGAATACCAATTATCTTGCCAAGTAATCATTTGGTGAAAAGCTCTTTAAGTGTAGCATCTCAAAATGTCTTGTTTTTTCTGACAACCAAGGTTTGCAATCACAGACATCAATGAAAACATTCATATTTAGAAGCTGGAACATTGAAACAGTTGCTGGTTAGTTTTCTGTGCAACATCTTATCCATTAATCAGCTACTAGTAACTACCACCAACATACTTTCTAACAAACAACGAAGCTGTGAGCAGTGGTTAGTGTTTAGAGTTTTAATATTTCTGGCCCTCAAATGTCTAATAATACCAATCCATGTTAGTTGATTTAGCCTGCAATCCATGGAATTTAAGACAAGGTTAACCATGAAAAACAATATGTAAAATGTAATGTATATAGTAGCTTCAGCTCTCAGCATGAATACTAAACGTTCTTGATTGAAAACCAGAGCAAACTGCTGGAAGTATTTTGTGGGTCGGTGGGAGGATACCGACTCTGATTAGAGGAATCTGTTTATTACACGCTTCACTTGTGGGAACACATCCTATAAGTAAAGACACGGCACCCCTTAGGTGGCAGGCTATCAATACTATGCAAGTGATGCCGATATTAAACACTCTTTACTGTTACATAATACCACGAGGACAGCTCTGGCTCTCTCTCATTTATCCTGCTGAGGCAAATGTCTACATGACTGATTAATGTGTTACACGACTGCAGAGAAGCAAATAAAGTGTTGTTTAATTTGTGGGGTGGGGGGGTTCTTCGGTTAATGTTAGGAATCTTCTCTCAAGAATCTGCAACAGTGAGTTACCTTCTGCGGAACGGAGGGAATCGTCAGCACCATGCAAGCCCAACAACAGTCACAGACACATGAAATGACACATGTGAGTGGTTGAAAGAGGAAGAACATGAAAGACATAAACAGGCAAGAAAACACAGGTACAGGTAGAGGACTAAAATCGAAGAGACAAACTAAAACAGAAAGACGAGGATTTGCAACAAAACTAAACATGCTGACGAACTGCACAGGAATTCCTGTTTGTGTCTGGATGTGAAAAGTGCAGCAGAAATCTAAAACCTTAATTCTCTTGACTTAAGAGACTGTATAATTTGCAAGGCGACTGATTAATCAATGCTGAAGGGGTCTAACCCAAATGTAAACATTCGCAAACTACACCAAATAGCTCGAGCTAGAGGGAAACTGTGCAGCGTTTGAAATGCAGACGTTAGGCATTGATTAATAATACCGCCTTTACACTGTGAATTAATTCAAATTAATATTCATACTTGGATGATTCGGCTGTAAACTCATGGAATGTAAGTGAAATTAAATCTAATCTGTCTGTGTAGCAGACACAGAGGAGTTTGCAGTGATGATCGGGACATACAAGGTCACAGTTTTTGCAATGCTTTAAAGTTATTACAAACGCTGCTAATCAGTAGGGGTGACGGGGTTATCCTGGAGGGAAAGAAACGGCTACAGCAGTAAAAGCTAATCTTCTATTATCCCCACTACAGAACAAACCTGTGTCTTCAGCGAAAAAATGAAAAATGCCGTCTAGGGACATAAAAGAGAAGAAAGGCAATCAGAATCAGTTGTCTGCACAGATGACCACCTGCAACTCTGCAACAAGACCTTAGTGAAAATTTTAAGAGGACTAATTTCTGGCAGACTGCTCGAGGAAAAGAAGGAAAAACAAAACATTTTACTAAATGAGTCAGTTTAAGGTTAGGAGGAGACAAAACTAGTTCACATGACACTGAAAGATACTTTCAAAGGTGGCATGAAGTGAAAATTAGTTTTGTAATCATATTTTATGAAAGTATTTCAGCAAATCTGCCAGTTGTTAATTACTTCCTGAACAGATAATATTTGCTCAGTGCAGTAAATAGCTATTACAAAAAGGGACAAATTGTAAATTAATTTCCCTTTGTTTGATTTCGTAGCTCAGATATTTTCTGAAAGCACATTTCAATCATAAAGGGTATTTTTCTTCATGTTCTTTCTAACTTATTACTGAAAAGCACCACCTCATGCATATCGCCACAACAAAGATGAAATGAAACTGATTAAAAAGCTGAGCAAGGAGAGATGAATCACTTACTTTTGTAAGTGTGGCCTGATGGGTACAACAGACAGATGAGAAAATGGATGAAAAAAAATGGGTGATTAAAATTAGAAAATGAAACTATGAGATGATGATCAGCATGCAGACAACATGAAATCATACCCCTAAACAGGAGTAATGCAACAGAAACATACACCCCCAACCAACAGAGGGCACTAAAAACTAAATAATAGATTCAGGATTCAAAGCAAGGCTGGTGTGTATAAAGGCAAGAAATAGCACAACATAGTTTGCGAGTAAATTATGACATAATGAGCCTGAAACAATGCTGTAAAGCAGATTTTCAGCAACTGTGCAGAAGGATCTAAGTGAGACGTATGTGATGAAATCGGCGTGTAACTCCTGTCTAAAGTAGCAAGCGGCTTTTAGAGAAGTTTTTCTTCATGACAGAAGTGTTTCAGGAATTCTTCGATACCGAGATTTCCCTCTATGGAAAACCAAGTAAACAAAACAAAAGGAGGTCAGTGAGTTAGTTCTTGTAGCCAGAAAATAACTTGGAAGGAGACAGACTGAGGATGAATAGACACAGTTTGAAGCTTTTGAGACACTGAACAAACAGTCATCGGGCTGACATGCTACTCCTCAAAGAATCTTTATAGATTCACTTCAGGTAATATGCTTGTGAAGACAGAGGTCAAAAAAGTCCGATAAAAGCTTTACAGTGTGCTGTAAACTGTGCAGCATGTGCCACTTACGAACAGGCTCCGTCTTGAAGAACTCAGCAGGACTGCTTTCACCTTCACCCTTGCCGTTGATGGCTGACATCTTCACTTCGTAGCCTGTCTCCGGCTTCAGGCCTTGGATTGTCACCTCGCCGATGGAGCCTGTTACAATATCAGAGGCAGAGCGATCCCTGTTCAGAACACCTTGATGATTCTGATGAGCGCTTAAACAAACACAGTCCCTGTTCCAACAATACATGCATAATTAATTCCATCACAGGCAAACACTGATTAGCTCAATTCTGATTTCATTCCAACAATGTTTAAACAAATGATTAATCTATTTAGAGATGGTCTAAAACTAAACGTACACAGAAATAGAAATAACAGCTGTTTCAAATTATCTTGCAGTGTTAAATCTTATGTATAGATCACCTTTGGGATTCGGATCATCCTCCACATAACATTACTCTTTGCTATTTCATCTTTAAATATTATGTATTTATTTATTTATTCATTCATTCATTTCCTAATCTTGTTTTCAGGTTTTTCTGCATATATAAATCTATACCTCTATATAAAATCTGATGTATGAAAACTTATCTTCCTTTCGCGCAGCGTATCTTCATATTTTAAATTTTTTTTTTTACACTGATTAAATAGTTTAAGACTTGTGACAATATGACAATATATTTTTAAAAAAAATCACATGATTAAAATGAGTATTTTCCAGTTTTGATATGTACCAAATATGACAAGCACATGCAACATTGTCAAAATATAACAACGAAGATATCTAAAGGGATGAACAGTGTTCCAAAACACAACCTTCATTAACTAATTATGTTAGTTTATAATTAGATTGTGTTTGAAATCCTCCTACTTTCCCTCCTCCTTTCCCAAAAAAAACCCCACATTGCCATCATTTTTGTTTTGATGCGAGTTATTACCATCTTGGACCTCGAAGACTCTGTGCATCCAGCCGCCCCTGCCGCGCATCCTCCACTCAGCTCTGTATTTCAGGACAGGAACGCCTCCAGTAGAATCAGGCTCCTCAAACAGGATCTGTGCTGTGGTGGAGAAGGGCCTCACCTCATCGATAGATGGAGGTGACGGAACCTCTGAAGGGAGGAAATGCAGCGCAATTACAAGAAAAACTCTAAGATTGCAGCACACTAGCACTGTCAAACTCCGTTGCTCCATTACAGTTACAGACTGAGCTCATGGCTCTTAATAGCTCCAAAATGAAGCAAGAAACTGCTTCATCTTTGTGAGAAATCCATGATTTATGACAGCACAGCCGCTCCTTTTGCACGGAATGCTGCATACTCTTGACATTATTTCAGAAAATAAAAGTAAGGGTAGGAAAAAACTTTTAAATGCTGCTATGACCAACGGACTCAAGCACAAGCTGTTCCCAAGCCAGCCTTAAATGATGATAATGAGAGTGAGCAGCTTGTTTGATGTTTCAAAAAGCAAAACCTTCTACAGATTTTTAAATCGGATAAACCTTTGAGCTGGAAAAAATGACTTTGGATATGTTCAAACACTTTGCAGTCGGCTAAGCACAACGTAATGTTTCAATATATTGTAAATGTGTTTAAACTGTCAACAGCTGGTGTTGGAGGATCTGTGAAATGTAGTTGAACTGAAAGGCTTTTGTTTCTGTACTTACCCTAAAGTTAGGAAATACATTTCTAACCTGTGATGTACACAATTCATTCTTCATTTACATTCCTCCTTTGTCAAACTTAATGAAAAGAAGACAACAACCTTATTCTGGTCCATGCATCGCTGCACGCGCTATTTTAGAGAAAATTACATTATTTAAACTATTCAACCTGCCGAGATTGTCCATATGCAGGCACTGGTGGCGGCTCGGTATTCACACACTGGTGTAAGCACAGTTCTGTATTGCATCACTTTGATCTTTGAAATGAAAAGGCACACTGTAATTACTGTGGTTGCCCCTGTTCTGCTCTGAGTGAAGGATGTGGTGTTTTCAATTCATTTACTTCCGATTGTGGACTAAGAGTGGCATTATCTCTCAGCTCTCTGTTCCATTTGCTTAATGGCTGAGTATAGAGTCCATGGTATAGACAGGTGGTGATCCAGTGTTACAATACGCTGCTGCAACTTTGAGAAATTGCATTCTACTTTATTCTACACGCAGTAAAACTTTGGAGATGCACAATAATGCATTCAGTTTTACATGTCTTTTAACCCTGCACTATGTGTAAGGCTTAGATCTGCAATAAACAGAGAGAAGGAACATTAAATTATCTCATGTTGGCTACCTTTTCATCTAAATCAATCATCCATCCAAACAAACAGTGCTCCATGTAATCTCTCATTGTGGTAGAATGTTTTGGTCTAATGTGTTTGGGTGAAAACTCCAGGGTCAGAAAAAGTCTCTGCCTCACTTTGTATAATTTGTGTGCTGCAATTAGGTTTGCCATAATTGATCATTTATCCTTCTTATGCAAGCTTTTAAGCAGTTATTGAATCATGTACATCCTGCATACGACTCTTCCTTTCATCAATAGTCCTTCAAATTTTGATTAGGCTGACAAAACAGCCACAGGCACTGTAAATGCAAAGTAAGAAAACTGAATCACGGCGTCGTCACTGACCAGCCTGAATGAGCAGGAACTCCTTGGACTCTGTGCCCATCTCATTTGAAGCGGTACAGTTATAGCTTCCAAAGTCATTTTCAGACTCTGGGGTTATCTAGAGAGGGGGGGAAAAAAATAAAGCAGTAAATATATGAAGGGCAGTGTACCAAAACAGATGAACAAACTTGTGTGTCAAACACTCTGAAGGTGACCTTTTTGTTTGTCCATTAGAGTGGCCTATTTTTATTTGTTGCTGTGAGCTTTCCTGCTGCTGAATTATTCATCAGATTTTTTTTTTTTTTCCACAATGAAGCTGAAAGAAAACCCTTCACTTCAAGTCTATGCTCATGAAATCTTGATGACACGGGGTGGTACGTATGGGGTGTGTGTGCACGTGGCGGAAACGTGAGTATGTGTACATTAATTTTATGGAGTAGAAATCGTCGTTTGACTGGAGCGTGTACCTGCAGGTAGCTGGCGGAGGGAGTTCTGAAGATCTTAATGTTGGTGGTGTTTGAGTTGGGGAGCTGCAGTCCATCTCTCAGCCACACTATAGACACATCACTGGGAAAAGCCTTGACCTCACAGCTTATATTGACAGGATTTCCCTCCCAGGTATATACAGCCACTGTACCGTGGATCTTGGGGGCGTCTAGGAAATAAAAAATGCATTTAACACAAACCTTGTGCCAAACCATTCAGGTAAAAAATAGTGGATGGCAGGAAACGCTGATGTTAAAGTGACTTCTACAACAGTGAGCTCAGCCTGTAGGCCTAAACACTTATGTCATAAGAGAAGGAAATACTTACAGCGGACCTCCAGATATGCGGTTTGATAATCCTCTCCAATGGCGCTGCGTGCTGTGCAGATGTATTGACCAGCGTCTGTATACTTGACATACTTCAGAGTGAGGGAGGACACACGAGCATCACTCCTCACCACTACATTTCCATCCAGGCTCTAAATGGCAGCAGAAAATAGCTTGGATTAGGAAAAGCACACCGTTCAAATCAGTTACTTTCCATAGCCGTAATGCACATTTACATATACAGACAAACACTTTGTGCACAAAGATGTGTGACCTGAGAAAAACAAAAGAACTCAGGAACGCCTGCCTTTAATGAAACAGGCACACTGTGCTCTGAAAAGATGTGGAAACATAAGGACACAGTTGACATTGCAGGGGAGCTTATCAATAATTGATGTCAGAAGGCACTAGAAACCATCTAGTGCTTTTCACACGGAGGGCTTACCAACTTGTGAAATATGCTGATGCATGACGGAGGACAGCAGAGCATTACCTTACGTGCCACGCTTGCACTTTTACACTGCAAGACATGACTTGGCGTCAGTGCGCACGGTGACATTTTTTAGTAAAATAACGTGTTCAGTTAATTACTTGTGGCATTTTGGGGGGTGTACGAGGTCGTAGTGCTCTTTGAACCTGTATTCAGCAAATGCCCCAGTGATGAAGAGCACATGCCAAGTCACATAGCATCTGAAAACAGGGAAATAACAACAGACAGCTGGCTAATGAGATGTGTAAATGACCTTCCTTCTCGAGTTATATGTGGTTTTATTAACTTGCGTTGCGGCATTCAGACGTACGTCGCTTCTTCAGGGTCAACAACTCTGTGTTGTTGTTGTAATGACACTTAGTCTCACATAGCCAGACTATTCTGCAGCACATCATGAACTGATTGCACTTCATTATCACTCTGCTACAGCACAAAAAAAAAATGCTATGACTTCTTTGTGTTTCTTTAAACCAACAACAAACATATTGGGCAGAGCTAAGCGAAGGATGCAGCCCCGTAGAATGCGCAGGTAATGGGAGGCTCATACCTGCAATCCACATCCGGTGAGTCAGACTGTGAGACACTAAACTGTTAGAGTGCAACGTTTCGGACGAGTCGAATTTCTTCTTTTGAACAAACATTTCCTCCAACAGGAAACTCAAACTCATTACTTCTCAAACCATTTTACACTGAATTTATGGATCTGGGACATGCAAATGTTGCTATACAGTAAGTTTTGGTGTTTTTGTGAATTGTCTCTTTTGCAAGGTGCTGCAGAGTTGAATATCTAAGGCTCTCTTTTGGCTGCTTTCATGGCTTTGATCCAAGCTGCAGGCAAAAACAATGGCCGAATGCTTTTACACATATTGAATTAGGGCCCAGTCTGGGCAGCCATGTAAGAGAAACCCTCGTTAGTTTGTGTTCAAATTCAATAGACAAAGCATGTCTGGGGCATTCATTATGCATAGCGGGTAGCAGGACCAGGGAGACACTTACATAACACACTACCCTTTTATTCTGACCCCTGTGCAGAAAGCATTCTCTCTCGACCCCTGTGGTACTGTTTCTGACTCTTGCATCTGTGCAACATGACACAGTATGTCCACCCATGAAGTCCTAGTCAATGAGCTAACTTCAATATTGAGTCCTTTATAATTTTGTGCTTCTACTTGCTGGAGAACAGCATCAAAATGTCTCCAAAAGCAGAGCAACATATGGAGAGTTTCTCAGGGGCAATAGCTGTTTTTGATACGAAGCCCGTAATGAATATCATTATCTACCAGAATAAATGTATGTGCTCACTCTAATTTAGGGCTGCAGTTCATGCATGTTTTGTAATAATGGATTTTTCAGTATGAATTCAGAATGAAGCATATAGTGGTTGTGACAGCATAGCTCTCCAACACATTCTTCTGCTGTACCCACAGAAAAAAGAGACACTGAGGGAACATCAGAGCATAAAATTGAGATTACATTTAGGACATATTAAACTCATGTCTCGCCAAATATTAACTGGCCCTGCATACAAATGTGCCTTCCCTTCCGTAGCCTGTCAAATGAACACTCAGCTGCCTACGCATTTGCAACAAACATGCTCAGCATGCTCATACTGCTCCATGTTCATACTCCTCCCCCTGTGTGACTTGTAATGGGATGTCTTGCAGAGAGATACACACTTATCAATGCAGAGCGCAGGTGAACTTTAAAACCATATCATTACGGCAGAAAGAGAAAATTATTATTGCCTGATCCATTAACGTAAACCAGTGCACTCAAGCCCTGAAACTAGAAATGTGCTGCAAATATGCTGCTGAGATGTAATCTGTGAGGCCACAGTTAACGAAAATACAGTTAATAAACCAAAAAACATCATGTGAACTCTATTCTTCAGTCATGTATGTGTTCGTGTTTGAGGGAAACGTGGCACTCGGTATCTAGGATGCACCATTTGTGCCTCATTTAAGTATAATCAGCAGATCACTAATCCAAATTTTCAAAATGATTCATTTTAGCTGTACTTCCGAGGCAGGCGAATGCAGAAAGCCTAGATAGAAAATTTCCGATTCATCACTTAGACAGCTCATTGCTCTTGGTGAGCAAAAAAAAAGCCTAGTGCAGCCATGTGTAAGTCATAGTTTTACACAAACCTTGTAATTACTGTCAGCATGTGCCTGATGAGTAAGGCTCTTTCTCCCCCGCTGTAGTGAGTGGTGTGTGACAAGGTTTGTTTTTTAAACTCTCAACTTTCTGCAGGTGTTATCAATGAATGCAGATCAGCTGCCAATATTAATTAAATATTGGCAGCATTTTAGGTAACTCGTACTGAGAATGTGAATATAAAAACACCTATTCTTAAAACTTGAGAAAGGAGTGAAAGGAAAAGACCAGTTCTCTTGATGTGCAGTGCTCCCTGCAATTTGAAAATATAATTAGCGAGGCTATTTGAGGAACCTAATGGTCTAAAAATACAGGTTCAGTTGTTGTCAAATGGCACCGAAGTATAAATAACAATGGCAACCCTAATAGTCGATCTTGCACTTAAAACAGGGATGTGATGATCACCGACGACATACTTTGTGAGAGCACAAATTTCTGAATCTGACTCAGGTCTATTCTCAGAACCAGAGAAGTGCCTTCAGCACGACTTCTGGAGATGACAAAGTGGTATTTCTCACCAATTTTCTCACATATGTAAAACACATATTCGCCAGTGGATTAAGCTGAAGAAGTAGCTTATGTGGGCAGCTCTTTCTTTTGTCAATTTTCACATTCTTTCAGTTTCAGTCTCTTGTTCTCATATTCTTTGTTGCTGCACAAAGGCATCTTTCATTTCCTCTTACATACATAATAAGCCCAACAAATTAGAACTAGAAAACTATATACTAATGTCAGAAATGCACTTTGAAGTTATAATTAAGATTTGACAGTAGACAGAGGGAAAGTTGGAGATGTGGGTGGATGGACAAAGATCTCACAAGCATTTTAACTCGATAAAATCAATTTCTGCAGAAGACAAGGTAGCACATTGCACCTAGCTATTATTTGCAGAATCATGCACATCATAAAAAAAATCTGATGTATTCAAAAGTAAGTCTTGTAATAACTTATGTTCAGGCAGGATAGATTAAAGGTCTGAAAAAAAAACAGGCTGGAGTTTGTATGGAAGAAGGTAAGCAGAGACAGACAGACTTGCACTGGCCTGTTTTGCTACTACATCGTTCTCAGAATTTATACTCTCCCTACCCCTTATTTGATCAAGAATTTTGATCTGCATCCATCCAGAATTGAATTAGACTCCTGGCATGAAAGATGGATGGGTGTAGGAAAAAGTCATGCATTTAGAATACCTTGTGTTGTTCAGGCCGAGTCCATGACGCCTGTAGAAGACAGAGAGACAACAAACAAAAGGCAGAGCAATTCTTAGAAAGCAATCCTCATCCTGGCAAAGCTGGGAAGCTGCACACTGCATGCAAGTATTAAGTGTCCAGATTATTTTCCGTGCATCCACGGAACCTGAGCTGAATGTCTGAATTTGCTAAACGTCTGCGGATAGAACAAGAGCTATGCCTTGGATTTCCTTGCAAGGGAAGCCAATTATGTGGCAACAAGAGTTTGCTTTTAGCAGTGAATGTTTGGCAAACTTTTATTTTCTGTTCTGCGCACGCTGGAACAACAGAATTAAGTCCATTGGCGTCACGATCTCACAAATGTTTACAGATAAGAAGGTTATTGGTTTATCAGGATAAGGTGACTCCATTACACTGCTTCAACAGAGATGTCAGCCTTCTTTGGTAAAAGTAGTACAGCAACTATTGATTCACAATCCATTTCTAAGGCTTGAAGCAACAACGTGATTATAAAACCCAATAAAACTGACTTGGACTGTTGTCTTTATCGTGAATATAGAACGCCTTTCCTGCATCTAGAAACAATAGTTAGTTCCCTGGTCAATCAAGTGATGGAACAACTCTTGCTGCATTTCTCAAGAAGCAATGAAGGGGTTTTAAATAAGCAATTCTATCGCAGCTCTTTCTACACCCCAACTAACACCTGGAAATAAATCCTTGTCTACAGGTGGCCTATGTTGTGAATGTTCCCAATTAACTGACCAACTAACTAGAGATTAGTTCAGAGTTTTTATACAACTATTTCTCTGTACCATCGCTTAGTAATCTCATGCTGAGGCATCACATTTCAGTTCTCGTGTGTCTCATACATATTGTCAGGAAATAGCAGTAATAATTATTATTGTGTATTATACATAAAACCACTGGAAGCATATTGGATTCATTGTTTGACTGAGATAAACATAATTTCAACATTACCATGCTATATCATGAGTTACTAAGGAAATAAAATCACCTATATCACCATAAACAAGTGATTATCATCATCATCATCATCATCATCATGTTGGTCTAATACTCTCAAATACAGCAAAAAACATCTGACTGAACACAGAAGTATTTTAAACCGTGACACACCAAATCAAACCCAAATGCTTTCGACTGCACTAGACAACATGCTACATCAAGTTAAATCACAAGACACTGAAAAGCCAAACTCCACAAGACAGAAAGCTTTTTAGACGGCATGCTCTATGGATTTCATGATGCTGCGGAGAAAATGTTAAGCATGACGATGAGATGTGATGGCCGACACAGCGAGGAAAGTGTCGAAGCGTAACAGGCAAAATGATAAACAGCTATTTCATCAGGTGCAACAGCAAGAAAATGTCAAGTAAATGAAAGCAATCTGCTGGAATAATTGTAGGTCAAAACAGTGAATCAAACCATCAATGTTCACATCTAAAATCACCTCAATATTAACCTCTCACAAACAATGCAGAGGGCTTATAAAGGAGATCTGGTGTGTTTAAATTCATCTGGCTTCACAACAGTTAAGCACCCAATATCGGGGATGAATCATCCTTTGCTATGAAAATACGCAAAACGAAGAAGGTAAAACAAGGAGACACTAAAACACTTATTAGGAGACTCATACGCAAAGCTTACTGTATGAGAGAGCCTTTTTAAGTCCTCGGCTGTCACAGTAAAACACACTGTGCACCGTACATCATTACAAACAGCAGATGACTGCATATCATCAGCGCTGAGAAAGAGCACCAGCCCAATTAAAACAAGCAACCTAACAGTCTGGAACATCACCACCTCATATCCACATCGTCTGCAGCGCTGCCTCTGCAGTAAGTGAGCTGACAAGTATTGCTGTCATATCTGTGACAGGTGTTTGTTTAAGACAAAAGGACAATGAACAACAGCAGATGCGAGCATTCAAAACAGAAGACACCATAACACAATCACTTCGCGGCGCAAAACGCGAAGAACAATATGGTGACGGCTCCCTTGGGACTTATCATTTTTCCAGCCCATTGTTATTCCCTTCTGTAGAAAATTATCCCCGCTCTTAGTGCTGACATGAATTGTAATGTCAGCGTGAAGAGGGCAATGGAGAGAAAAGGCAGACATACTAAGACAAATAGACTAAACACATAAAAATGCACAGCCCTGGCAGTGTTACGTTCGCTGGGTGACGTCAGACTGAAAACTCCTGATTATGCATATATTCTGTCCTGTGTCATTATCTGCTGAGCCTTGGAGCCTTTCCAGTGCATCAGAGGAGAGAAGAAAAAAAAAACTGACTGGCATTTTAGTGTGGACACCCTTACATCACTCTGAACTAGCAAGCGTGCCGTGAATGAACAGCCTTTTGTGCTCGGAGAAAACAGTGCTCTCTCTGCACTGGCACGTAGCACTTGAAGCATTCCTCTGTTTGAGATGCCCTGCCTGCACCGCCGCCACACAACATTAATTACAAATTTTCTTTAAGCATCTCATTACACAATAATCACACATTTCTTTACTCGAGTCTTTAACTCCTAACTGGCAATCGGAATGTTAGATAGCGCGGGCCTTAGAAACAGATTAACGTCCTTAAACTTGAATTTGTTACAAAAACACACGGATTACAGACATAAAATGCCACCGCCCAAATCAACCACACATTATTAATGTGCTTTTAAGTTTTATAATTAGTCCTTTTTCCACTACATCTTCCTTGTGTATAGTTCGGAATATTTTCAGATAATTACGGCTTGAAAATTCGACATCAAGCGGAATGTTTAATATGTATTGGAATAAGCAAAACATTCATTATGTAGATAATGTACAAAGCATGGATAAATAGTTCATTTACATTTTCAGTTAATAAACAGACACTTATCTACAGCGACTTGGAGAGAATGCATTCAAAGGACCGAAAGAACCACAAACCACATGTAAAGTTGATGAAAGTTTGGAAAATAAATATATAAATGTTTAACTTTAATAGCTGTGTAAACAAAAACAAAACTATCCCCAGATAAGCACCCATTTGAATTTTAAACGTAGCTCTAAGCAGGCATACGCCCACAAGTCTACAACGGGGTTTTTTTTGAACACGCTCCTTTTATCCCGTCTTTTTCATGTACAGGACTGTAGTTTTGTATTGTGTGATACAGTAAGCTTCCTCAATCCTCACATTGTGCTCCCCTTTACTCGCGGTTATCGGACAACGCTTTTGTTTGACAACACTTAAGACCCGGCGTGGGAGGTTATTCAGGATGAATTAGTTTCTCCTCGAGTTAACCTTTAAAACCCAGGACCACAGTAATGGGAACGGAGTCAAATGAAGCCAGACAAAGACTTCTGAAAGCATCAAACAAGACAATGAATGGCTAATCTGTCGCAGAATATATCGGACTAAACATAGAATGTCTTTGTTTCTGAGTTGATTGAAAAACTGTATCTAAAAGTATTTACCATTCCTGATCCTTTTTGCTCAAACATTGTACAGCAGTTCAGTATGCTGCGCTGCTATTCAGCTCCCACCATCTGCTGCATCGTAACGATCACAGTTTTCACATAAAAGGTGAAATGTAATTAAAATCATGACCCCTAGGCTCTCTCTTCTTTTTACTCTCACATATCCAGGAGTCATTCTACTGAAAGAGTAAAGTGACTGAGAGGTTCAATTCTATAAATGTGTAAATGTTAGCTTAACGGTACCCTGTGGAGTTTCTGACCACTAACAGCACCGCGCAGAGGTCTTAGTAGGTTCATCCTATTTCTTGGACTCTAGACCCGGCACACAAACGGGTTTGGATCCACATTTTATGAGGTCAGCTGAGTCAAATCTCAGTCTGTTACCACAGGTTCCAGGTTTATGTAACATTATGTGCAATACCAGAGCGGATCTGATGATGAAACTTGATAACACATTACAAATACTAAAATTAGCAATAAGACTTTGGTATAATAGTTCAAAAGGTCAGACACGTTACGTGAAGTTATAAGTTATCCTTCAGATGCAACGAAGCTAAATGAGGCGCTTTTGTCGTCCATCAGCGTGACAGCAAGTGGATTTATAAGCTGAAATAATGAGTGGATTAGACATGCTGCGTCAGTCAGCCAGACAGGAATAATAGAAAACCTAAATGTTTTTTTACCAACTTTAAGGAGGATGGATGATATGCATTATAGCCAGGCATGGAGGGGGGATAGCTACAAGCATCCCATTAGATAAGACATATAGTTTTGTTTTGACAACTTGAAAACTAGCATTAACTTGTAAATAGCAATCAGCTGTGAAATCGTTGCCAACTGGGTCTGTGGCTCACAGCTGCGTCCATGTCCTGCATTTCTCAGTTCTCATATGGTTTGGTTCTGGTTAGTACATTTCCAAGCTATTTGGGGTTCGAGCTCAAATTGTGAGACCTGTGAAGAGCCCTTGTGCCAATGTTTATACACATGTGGTCCACATTTTTTGTCCTCATGCATGCGCATGACGACACATACATGGGAATGCAGGTAATGCAATAGAAATCCCTGTTAATGGTTTCACACGACTGCGCCGATCCACAAGTGGTAAAAACATGGCAACAAATGCAAAAAGAAAGAAAACAACTACCAAATAAATATGGATGTAAACAATACAGGTTTGAAAGTTTTCAGAAAAATCAGCTTTGCCAGTATTTTATAAAGAAGGAAACATATCTGTGAGACCCCCAGGTAAAACACAGTATGTTTTGGTGGCCAGCACTCAATGTAAACAGAAACTGTGTTTGTTTACTCCACAGGGCACCTTTAATAACCCCAAAACAGACACGTTTAAAGGGTTCTTCCAGGCTGTATTCTAGCTGGAAGCAAACCAAAACAACATAAACATACACAAATGCCTTTAAACACTTGGTTTTCTTAAAGTAAGTATTCTTGTTATATTTGGACTGAGCATTGAACCATAAAAACTACTTATAGCTTCTCTCGAATACAAAATATTAATCAATCCACTGTATAAAGCGGAATACTCAATTAACAGTTGTGTTGAAAGTGTTATTCATAGCCTTAGTGCGCAGCAAAGCTGATAAAATTGCTTATTTACCAAAATGTCAGTGTATTCCTCCAAGTCCGCGGTCTCTTACAATAAGATAATGCCAGATAAACTTAATGTAAAGGTCACTGGTACAGTATGTGTGAGTATATAAATAACACTAATCTTTAAATGATCAGAGGGTTCTGCATTAAAAAAAACTATGCATTTGATGTACAGTTGATCAAGCTTGATCAAGCTAATGCTATTCAATAAGAAATGAAAAGCACTTGGTACCATAGGGAGGCAGAGAACTGACAAAAATGTTTTAAAAAATGTCTAATTAATTCTGTCTATTCATCACCACTACACATCTAACAAGACAGAATACAGAGCTGTACTGGTTTTCTGATCAATCAGAAATCTCACATAAATGTATTAATTTAAAAAATGCTTCCCTTTGCATCCTTTCAAGTTTCTCAATTCACCATGTTCACCCCCAAATGAATGGTACATTTATCACACTGATCCTAGATGAAATACAGCTGTTGTGATGATTACAGATAGCATGATGGACGGACATCTGATGAACAAATGAAACAAGACACTTAAACAATTAGCAGCCGTATCCTCATCCATTTATTGAAATCGTCTTCCTCGCTGATCATCAAAACTAAAAAAGGAAACTCTAAGCAATCTTCATCTATGTGATTCAGTAAGGCTGCTAATCATTTCTTTGAAGACAGCTGTGAAAAGATGCCACAGATCACAGAGTAGACTACAGCACAAAACACACTGCCACCACTGCACAGCTGTGCGGAACATGACATGCGTCACGTGACATGCCATTGCTGCGGCACTCCAGCGACGACACAGTGCAAAAATGGTGCATAATGCATATTGTAGTTTCCTGGTTTTTGTTAGTAACACAAAGGCTGTCTGTTATGTATTTCCCAGTCCCCCACCTGCAGTGAGTCTTCACACCTACAGCATAGCTTGCCAGGCATTGTCTTTTATGTCACATAATGGTGCGACTGTGGGGCGTGGAGTGTTATTCTACCCCACTAAATATGGTTCTCTTCATCCATTATGACAGCTTCAAGACCACAAAACAAGCTGACCTGTCACTAACAGAAGAAGGTACAGCAGTTTGGAGACGTGTTTCCACAAAAAAAAAAAGAAAAAAGTGCTGTTTCTCACGGGACACTGAATAATAGGACTGAGGTGTAAACTGTTACTAGGCGGTGCGTCCGTGTGTGCCGTTCCACTGTGGGTGTTTGGAGTTACAGAGAAGGAAAAAAAAAACAGGCCTGTCGTGACGTGCGTCATATGGTGGTAGTGTGTTTTGCACTTGTGAGCGAGGCTCCACTCAAAATGTATTTTTAAATATCAAACAGTCTGTAGGCTTGACAGGTGGCTGTAGACAGTTTATGCGTCCGTGTTCATGGAGAACAGTAGCTGCAGTCTGCTTGGATTCATATCAGCTGGAATCATCCAATAGTGACCAGTTGTCAGGGATGACAAAATACCCTTTAGGCCTCTTCGTGCAGCACAATCCACTTCTCCATGAGCACTTTGTTTCAAACACACATATTTTCATTGTTGTCTGCAAGGGACAAGTGTTTGATACTCAAAAGATAGACTTTAGGTGGAGCACTGTTTACCCTCGATTTTTAAGTGATACTGACATAAATGTTAGACAATCTACAGTATTATGGAGATGACAGACAGACTGAGCTGGGCTTGAATCCAGGCAACCTCATGCTGTGATGGAAAGTTTGAAATGATCGGGCAACAGCGACACAGAAATGGTGTTTCCCTTTTATTATGTTATTAACCAAATTTTCATCTGATCTCAGGAGATAAGATCAGTGAAGTTTTCAGGCTATATTTGGCAAGCATGCAGCAGTCAAATCAATTTCATGAACTCTGATGAGATCATTCCTTGGGGTTTTCAAGAAGCAGCTGGGAAATTTTCAATAAAAAGGGATGATTTGATTTCAGTGGGAGTTTTTGTCATATCTGGAGGCATACTTTACACCACTACTCCAGTACATTTCTGTGCCACGCGGATTTCATACCTGATAGATCCTGTTTAGATGTGCCTGTAGGAAGAAAATGTAGCGCATGTAATGGACTGGCTCCAGAATTTCTCTATGAACTAAAAGTATATCTCTGAAGCATTTTCCCCCTCATTACCTCTCAACTGTAGCAAGACACCAAGACCTAGAAGAACCAGGCCATGTGGGCAACAGATGTACGAGAATACCAACCAGGTATTCACTGTTTTTGATGGTTTGCACATGGAATAATGTAGAAGATATTACTGGAAACATACAGGAGTATCAGGATGTAATGGAAGATAAAAAAAAAAAACAAATTTAAAAAAAAGCTTGCTCTTAACCATCGCAATGCCAAAACAAATTTAAAAGATGGCAGCAAAATATCCACTAGTAAAACACTTTAGTATAGAAAACTTTTCAATCACTGGCATGAGCAGAATAATGGCAATAGTGATTGAAAATGCTAAACAAACACTTGATCATTCAAGTGCTCCAGCAAATACAATAAGAAGCAGGCGAAGTTTAATTATTGCTTTAATTTGCATGCCTATTTTGGGAATGCTATAATTGGGTTTCTGGTGATGATTTTCTTGACATTTCGAGAAAAAAAAAAAAAAATCAAGTCAAATCTGAGTGTACTCCATATTACTGACTGAGTATCACTGTGCTAATTACATGAGATCCTCTGGGCCATCTCAAAGGAACTGCTAATTTGGGGTAAATAATCAGCGGTACATAGACCTTCTTGAGGGCGTTTTGCAGTGAAATGGCACAAGTCCCCCACCTGCACATAATCAATATGCCACTTGAATTTAGGTTAAAGGTATTCAATTCTTCTCCTTGAGACTCCGGTGTCCTGCAGGTCCTCCCTGGTGGTTACAACTCAGTGTGCCCCAATTCCTCATTACATACAAATGCATTATAAAGTATACAATAAAGAAGTTAGTAAGCAAGGAATTCACTTTTTCATTTTGTACACAGAGGACAGGTTAGGCAAACTGCAACTGTAGAAATACATCATTGCAGTTCGCAATCTAGACGCATTGCTAACTGCAAGGAAAATCAATCTTTCTAAGGATTATTTTCTGAGCTGTCACCAGAAACAATATACTGCCATCTTTATTTTTTCCCCAGTGTAATTCTGAAATTTCTCCACTGTGTACAAGTTGCTTAAAAGAGTTTAGAATTTATGCATCGTATACACCTGGGACATAGAGAACATCTTTAAGCCAGGTATAATTCATTAATTCCAGGAGGACTAATGTATGCAGAAGACCAGCCCTCAAGGATTTGCTTCTACCGTCATCCACGCTGCCTTTATTATGTTACCTGCTCTCCCTCAGTGAACACGTGATCGCCGTAGCTCCAGCTGATGGTGGGAGTCGGATCTCCTGATGCCTCACAAGTTAGAGTTACCTGCTCCTCCATCTCTGAAGTGCTCTGGTTTACGATGTATGTGATCTTGGGTTTGACTGTAAAGCACAAAAGCCAAAGTCATCACAACTGCTCTGGCATAACAAGACAGCCAGGTGGTTTGGCAGCACAAGAACAATAAGTAAAAGAGCAAGTCTGTGGATTTGGGATGAGTTCAAAGGGAGGATGAGGATCAGTAGTTGACAGGTGAGGGGGATTTTTATGGCAGCAAAACTGCATTTAAGCTTTCCCAGTCCCAGCAGCAGTAAAGTTGTGATAACCGTGTGTGGATCCAGACGTTATTCATGTAATAATTTATTTAGACTATCTCAAAGGAGCTGGCCTTCATATTTGTTTACATTTGAGGGAACTGTCAAGTTACAGTACACCTGGGGTAACCTGAAAGCGCAGCAGGGTGCCGCAGAAGTGACATGAGCAGAGCGAAGCAAATTGAAGTGCTACTTCTGACGCATGTGGCTGAGTATCACTGTGCTCTCATCTTATTCTTCCATGAAGGATGAATGCAAGGGATTAAGCAATGCATTTAATAAATGTAAATCTATTCAGTATCGTGTACATAATTTGTAATATATAGCACAAGGAAACCACTGCAACTTTGTTTTAAAGTTGTGTTTTCTCCACACATAGATGAACAAAGGAACGGCTGTGTTGTCATTTTGTTATGTCTACATTAGGCACTTCAGCGTGTAAGTATTTATATTCCAGGGATGGATGTCAAAAGTCAATCAGTAGGATTGGAATCAGAGCAGATATTTTTTTAATAGATTGCATCAGCAATGTAAACCTTAATCCATTCCAATCCTCTGTTTGTCATTGAAACACTGGAAATTAGGATATAGAATACATTGTGAGCAAGACGACCTTGAAACAACACAATCAAATGAATTCTCGCCTGAACCTTGCAGCTACTACAGCTATTTTCTGCATTCAAGGTATTCAGTGCTCAAGCTATTTTCTTGACTAATTTCAATACAACCCTATTTAGAGGCTCTGAAAGCCTTTTTCTCAATCATGATTCTCACTTTGACGGTGAACATGAACACAAAATCTTCTTCTAAAGATAGACCGGTTCTGGTTATTTCATATGAAAATAACCAATTTAGTGTTTTTATCTGTGATCGTCTTACTGGTTTGAAGTGGATGAGGTTCAGCTGTCGTCTCATACTTCCGTTAACAACATCTGAGCCCAAATCAGATGAAATTTGTGAGGTTTTCCTGCTACAGATGCTACACTGTCAAGCAAACTGATGAAAAATCGCACAAAGAGAACCTGGATAAAGCCGGTGTTTTTAGCGTTAAATGCTTGACAAATAGTACCTATGTTCGTTTTTTGCAGCATCAACTATGATTATGGCTTATTTAGTCATTAATATTTATTGTTAGAGACATAGAAGTACTTACATTTGAAGCTGAGTTTAATGGTGTGCACTGCCCAGCTCTATTATGCTATAAATATCACAGCACGGTTTTGACAGGTACTTAACATTAAATGACTCAGGACATGTTTACAGTTTCCACATGCAGTAGCTGATGCTTGTAATGAAATATGCAATTGCAGATTTTTCCACATTGATGTCAGGTAACCAGAGCTTTGTGAGGAAAATCTTTGCGATAATGAGGTAAACAACAGAGTCTGAAAGCTGTCTTGGGTAATTTTAAGGTAATGGTTTATCCATCGAGCTCTAAAGAACCCCACCTTGGCTACTTATTTTGTTCAGGAAAATGAACTGCACAAGCTAACCCAGTCTATAATTCAATTGACATAACTGCACACACTGACACTAAGATTGGGATTGAAATTATGGCTGTTGTGACATGGCAAAATAAAGACGAGAACAACCTAGTGGGTAAAAACAAAGAAAAAACTTCAAAGAGTTCAGCTGAGCTCATCCCACTTGGCCTGTTCTCTAAATCCTTAAGCTCCATCCCTACATGAAACAATCACAACCCACACCGAAACAACACCTTATCTTGTATCCCTTCGAAAAACAGACACAAAACCATACTATTGTTCTTCCCCCACCTACATACTCATATACCTCATTCCCACACACTTGGATCATTTCATATTGCCACTTTAGTTCACGTCTGTATATAAATCATTGTGCCTTACCGAACACTCTCAGACTGAGTTCCTGCTCTGCTTCCCCAGCCTTGTTCTTGGCAATGCAGGTGTATTCTCCCTCATCCAGTTTGGTAACATCCATTATCGTCATTTCTGAGCCATCTTCATTAAAACTGTACTTCTCTCCTGCCTCGAGGTCCACTTCATTCCTGTAGAAAAAGCGAGCGTTAAGCACCATATCCATCTATCAAACCCCATTTCTCAGCTACGCCATGTTACAAGATTTTCTTTAAAACTATGATCCCTCGGTCTTTAGAAAATATGCAGAAGTTTCTTTCTACATCCCTGAAGGACAAAGTGAAAAAGATCAAGTGAAAGAGTACAAGTGTGCAGTGATGGGAAAAAAAAGAGGTGAAGAAGAGGTGAGAGCTGAGAATCTCAGAGCAGAAAATGTTTTTGTTAAATGAGTGTGATAATGTTTTTCTTTTGCAAGCCTTTTGACATTTGATGTTTACAGCCAATTTGAACAAAAATGCCTCATTTATTCTAATTTCATCAAAGTGGAGCATAAATTGCTTGTCACCATTGCCAGCCATGTAAAGGAGATAATGTTTCTGGCCTCTGACACGACTGACTGTGATCACTTTTTTGTGTTTCAATACATTTTTCAGCAAGCTGCAGGTGCTCTGTAACTGCACGACTACAAAAACACACACATCTAAAGGAAACAGTAGCTCCTGGGCCATTTGCACTTTTTGACCCCGATTCTAAGTTGTCGACAGAGTTAACTGCTGTCTTGGAAACAAGACGAACAGGAACAGCTTAACAAAGCAGGAGCCTATCAATGGCTGTATTCAGATACACTGAATAATGTGGCTATTGTTGACATGCTGGTCTTCAGGTTTCACGGTTTACATGCACCTTTGATACCCTGTGATTAAGTGTCCTATTGCAATGAATAAATCAGCTAGTCGAATATCGCTAATAAACTAGAGTATCTTCCATGCAGATACAACAGTGCACCGACACTCCTAGCATCAATTTGACTGCGGCATACCGAGGCATACACCTAATAACATTCCTGATGTGGGTGTGTTGCTGGATGAATTTTTTAAATGTGACTATTGCAATACCCACCTGTAAAAGCCAACTGGCAAGCAAACCTCATGAATATTCAGTCCAATAAAGCATGAGCATACAGCGTATCTCTGACAACAATCTGAACCAGTGGGCTATAATGTTTATCTTCCAAAAGGTATCCTATGTCTTCTGTTTCTGCTAAAACCTTTACTTCACATCTTTATGTAATACTGTTTGCATTATTTACATTATTATATAAATAATGCAGTAGCCTATTTAAACAGCAGGTTACTAATGGTGAGTAACATTACATTTGTCATGCAACCCTGCTGTGTTATAGAACATTAATAAAACCTACATAACAGGGAAACATAATAGGCTATAATGAGTGTCATGATTACATATAACCGCTTAGGTTGGAGACAATAATTGCTGTAAAATAAGCCACTTGAGGAAAGAAAAAGAAAAAAACAGTTGATGGAAAAAATCTGGAAGTGTAGAGGAAATGTTTGCTTCTTTCATTGGGGATCTAGCTGATATCTGGTTTGTATAAATACAGTTTATTATTTTTGATTGGCAATACCTCATTAGTCTGTTCCTGCCAACTTTTACCTCCACTGACGCTATGTGTCAACAACCATTTGCGCTGTTTGCAAAAACCGGCGTTACCAAGTGAAAATTTTAGCCATACTAGCGACAGGGTTCTATGGATCTGCCAGTCAGATATTCCACCATTCAAATCAGTTTAGACTGAAATGTTTTTAGGCACCATTGTATACGAGGGCATCGAGCAGGAAAGTTGCAGATGGCAACAAAAATGAATATCCTTCTCTCAGTTTTCCCTTTTCCAGATATGTAGGAGAACATACGGTGGCCTGTAGGTGTCAGTAGCTACTTCAGTAGGTTAGGTACATATTTAGAAATGGTATTTAGTTATTCAGTTAGTTATTTAGTAAATTGTAGCTCATAGCTTTCATATAGGACATAAATATTACTACTATATTATTAATAATACTTTTTTTTTTTAGTCTAGACGTATAGACAGATTGTGAGATAGAATTAGCTTTTAATCTTCGACTGTAGACCAGAAAGTGCAAGGTACTGTTTGGTTTGACCATTCTGGGCTTCTGTAGAAACATGTCTGCAGATATGAAGGGCTCATTTGTATTTTATTCGTAGCTACAGGTGATTATACACTAATGATAACATAGTCATGAACATTTCACATTTCACTTCTGCAAATAGATCCCCCTAAATCCTACACGATGGGCTTTAACTATTTGATTGATTCAGATGGAATTTTGTTTTGGTTCAGAATGAAATGTCTCAACAACTATGGGATGGACTGCCATGGAAGTTGGTAGATGGGTTAATGTCACCCTCAGAATGAAATGTAATAACTTTAGTCAAAACTTAAATTTGACCACACACGTGCAAAACTAATGACATTCCTACAAGCCTCAACTATATTTTGTGTGTATTGAAAATTAGCATACTAGCACATGAACAGGTCAAAATAAGATGTTGAATGTGGTAAGCATTATTCCATTAAACATCAGTGCATTAGCATTGCCATTTTGGACATGTTAGCGAACTGATGTTAGCATTTAGCTTATATATTCAAGTTTAAACTTTAAAAAGCTTTAAGTTACTTACAATAAAATAAATTATCTCAACTGGTCAATAATGGCTTTTTGTAAGTTGTCACAAATGACAACTTGCTGTATTATTAGCTTAAGGACTATAATCACATGTCCTGGCTAACTGTAGGCTACTTAAGTAATTAATTATTAGTGTTATGCACTGTTATCTGACAAGTGCTACTGAAAATGCTGAAAGCTTTCAACTCTCCACTTGCTAGCTGAGTTATACCTTGTCCACGTCACCATGGGTTCAGGATAGCCATCAACAGCACAAGTCAACATGGTGGGCTGCCCAACATCTGCTGTGGCATTTACCTCTGACTGCCATATCCTGATGGTCGGGAGCACTGAGATGCAAAGAGATATATAAATAATGAAACAGAAAGAAAAAAAATAAAATAGGCAGACATACATATATATATATAGGCAGATGGCCATATAGGTACAAAGATAGACAGCAGACGGAATAACTGAAAGGGAAGCAGTGACAAATTCAGAGCACTTATTTTAGGCACACTCATTTGCTGGGCTCAGAAGTTGCAGGAAACAGACTTCATTAGCATGGAACATCTTTGATACACGGTTGCTCTGGGCAACTGTTTCCACATTGATGCTGAGCCTGGCCGCCTCTCAGGATCTACGGCTTATTTAAGCGTCATGGGACACCTGCCACACAAAAACATGCGCGCAGGAACAAAAAGGAAGAGGAAATATTGTGAGGGAGAAAGGGTTGCTAACCATTCACAACGACCTTGATGACACGCAGATCAATCTCGCCGCGGGCCATGAGGCGACCCTCGCAAGTATACAAGCCCTCATCTGTCTTCTTTATGCCACGAATCTGAAGGTGATTGTTGCTCAGTACCCTAAACCGAACTGAAAAGAAACATAAGAAAAATGCATTATCAGGTGTGCATATATATATACACACACAACAGGTTTACAACAGCACTGCCTAACTATTTAATGATAAACAGCTGGTGTGCTAACAAGCTTGTGAATCAGCACAATAAATAAAGAAAACTCTTGGCGGAATTAATTGACCAAAAAAAGATTTACTTTAATTAAACATATACATTTTAACACTGATGTCTTAGTAACTGATGTAACTGCACCATTATCATCTGAAAAACAGATCTGATAGAGCTTTATCTCCATTAGATGTAGCTCCCTGTATGCAATATTTGTGTTAGTCATACGGATAATGCTAGTGGAAAAACAACTGTCTTTTTTCGGGGCTCATATTTTAGATGTTATTTCCACTTTATGAAATTCATTTCAGTACATCCAACACTCCTTCCAGCAGCTCCAAAATAAGAGGAATATGGCCCGAGCCCACATGAACCCCTTCAGTTTGAGATGAAATGTGAGCCGAATAAATTTAATCATGTAATAATCCAAAATACTATTACAACCCACACATGAGCCCGTGTTATTATTTTCCAGTGAGCAATACCAACACTACCATACACATTATTATATTGCTCAGTGTCAAGGGTGAATAACAGAGAGTCAATTGTATTTTTAAATTCAAAACCAAATTAATTTCTTCCTTTCAAAGCTCAGGGTAAACCCCAGAGAAGAATGGCAACAAAAACAGGGCATAAGCAATTTCAAGCCTCTAACAATGGTAAATCTGCATATATATTATTACGTTGCTTGTCTTTGGGTGCCTGTGTGTGCTTTAATTTTAAATATGTAGTCTATGATGACCAGTGTTAAAATAAATTACTAAGGTTTACATTTAGCCTTTTAGGCCAGACTTTAGGTTTTTATTCTCTGTTTTGGCTCTTGACTCTTTTTTAACTCTACCAAACTGTAATACGGTAGTAAAATTGCTCCGAGTTACATCTTGATTATGTCTTACACACTAAAGTTTGGAAGCATTGACGCACTCCCCTGACTTACAAACTTACAAACAAAAAAGAAATACCAATCTTTGGAACAGACTTGATTTCATACAGATTTAGGGACAGTGTTGTACAAACTACAGCTCAAACTGAATACAATTATCGAAACGTCTTACAAAAGAAGTGAGAACACATTTGTGTAATATCAGTTAAACATCAAATGATTCAAAATTTTAACACCTTTTAATAACTGTACCACTTTGACTTGAACAATAGGGTTATTTACTCTTTACTCTTTTACTGTAAAAGTAAAACTGAACAATTAAGATTTACAATATTAAAAATACATGCACAGTAGGAACTCAATGCAACAAAAGTTTGTCGTTACTAATATTTTTTTTCAATATTTCATATGTCCAACTGTATTTTTAATAACCACTAATCCTCTGCATGGAGGGCACCAGTGTCCATAAAGGTCTGTAAAGATGTTTTGACAAATGCTACCAAGACTATTTTTTCCAGCTGCTCCTGGCTGTAGGGATTGCGTAGCTCTATCTTTCTCTTTAAAATACCCCAAAGGTGTTCGATTGGATTCAAGTCAGGCGTCATACTTGGCCAGGTCATAGTTTTCACTGGTTTCTTGTTTAGAAACTCTTGTGTGATTTTTGGCAGTGTGCTTTGGATCGTTATCATGCTGCAATGTTCCTCCTCTGCCAAGCTTCTTCAGACTGTGAGTTATCCTGTCAGCCAGTATTTTGGTGATGCCATCTATCAGTGTCATCTCCCTAACAGCTTTTGCACTCATACAGCCACATATCATCATAAGCCCACCCCTGTGCTTCACTGCCAGGAATATGCATTCACTGTGGTAGTACTGGCCAGCTTGATGCCAAACATGCTGGACTCCATCTGAACCAAACAAATTTGTCTTTGTCTCAGCTCAATGTGCTTCCAATATGCATCATACTTATTTTCATGTCTTTTAACTAAATGTAATCCTACAGTTTTGTATTCAACAACAAGCAAGGGTGTCTCTCTTGGACACTGTCCATCGAGGTGCAATGTTCTTAACACTATGTGAGCTGTCACAGAAACTCAGATTTTCATTGATAACCCCTGTGCCAAGTCTCAAACACTTGCCCGTCTGTTTTTCAGAGGCAGATAGTGAGAGTAGCACGCTGTCTGTGATGTCATTTAAGGAGGACGGCTACTGCTGATCTAATTTGCGTTACTATGGATCATTACTATGGTCTGTGATCTCCCTGTGTCCATTCACGTGTTTGTGAAATCTCCCTGTCAGATTTTCCAGCTCCTCTGGCAACTCTTTTCCATCTGAAGCAATGGTGCCAACACGCAGGTAGACACAGCCATAGATTCAAAATTGAGAAAGCGCTGGCATTCACAGGTTGTTTTTATAAGTATGTTCATGCAATCTGGCAAACTGTAATGACAGGTGTTCTTAATTTTGTTTCAGTGATGACAGGCTTTCTAAGTTGTGTGTCAGTGAATGCAGGCAAAGGCATTCCCTTTTGTTGCTTTGAGTTTCTACTTTAGTCCCTGTATTTTCTATATAGTGTTTCTGAAATATCTGTTGTAAGAGGATATACTTTACTGTCAACTACGAAATATTGCAATGATTGAGAGCTGGTACAATTTAATAGAATTTTTAATTTCAGTTAACAGCAGCCAACAACCAAATCACCTGAAACAGAAATCCCATGTAGTTCAGAGACACCTTACCATCTTTTTCCATCTGTATTTTCGTGCCTTTATATTTCCAGAGGACGGTGGGTAGAGGTGAGCTGACGACATCACAAATGATGTTGGCATTGTCCCCTTCAGTAAACTCTTGGGGTGAGGGTGCATTTGTGAAGGTAATTTTTTCTGTAATGAAACAAGTAATAAACATTTTTCACTCAGTGATATAATGAGTCTCATCAAAACACACTTGTTGGTTAGGAATAAACTTTAATTCACTACATTTCTTAAGCATTTGTTCTAAAATCATTCCCTACATGACAACAGTCATTTCTATTCCAATAATTCATTTTCACAGCTAAAAATGGTCAAACTGGAAGAGTGCTTGAAACATTTATCAATTACCACACTTTTCAACAAACCAAAAATCCATGTCTGGACACCTTTCACAAGCGAAGGCTTATTATCATTCTAAACAGGCTCCCTGACTGCACTGACGGTTTAAGTTACCAGAACTGAAGCAATCTGCAGCCATTTCTTAAACTGATTGGCTAATGGAATTTGCTGGAGGGCTATATGCGCCATAGAATGAAGTGCTACCGTTACCTTACAGACTTGACTTAGGGCACAAATTCCAGAATCGCATTCAGCTTCCCGGCTATAAAGCTGTCTCATCAAGGCTTAACATATGATGCCATTTGTAGCCACATTGTGCAGCTCATTTCTTGAAACGATCGGTAAAAGTTTTAATGCAAAATCTGCTCCTGTAAAACTCATTGCCTGCAGGGGGCACAAGTAATGATATTCCAGTATCCAGTATGTTATCCTTTATTTTCTTTGTAGGAGGTGACATTGCAATTCGTATGCAAACTGCTGCTGCTGTCCTTTCCTATTGATGGCAGAAGTTAATGTGTATAACTGCTATGACTATTAGCTTGCTTAATGTGAAACTTCAGACCATAAAATAAAGCTGCAATGTTATTTTGTACAATACTGTACAAAGTAGTGTACATTGACTTCAATGTCTACATGGGTGACCACTTCTAATAAAGACCAAAGATAGGCATTGAAATAACAAAAAAGTTTTATTTGGAAAAGGACTCCATCTCTGATGGACATTCGCTGATGCTTGGCATTCATGGAAAATAAAACCCATTACTCAAAAGAACGGCACAACAGACAGGATCATTAAGCAGCCCTCTAATGGTCTTCCGACCGTTTATTGAACTGATGAAAAATCCATCGTCACTTGAGAAGAAAAAGAGTAATGTGTTGCCCTTGAGCAGTCAATAAAATACTATGAGTTCAATAAACAGGATTCTTTTTCTTCTATGCTCACACCACTCTATAATTTGGAGAGAGAACTGTATGTGGTGAGGGAAATACTTACGGAAGATTTTCACTTTGACAGTTGACTCCCCTTGCTGGTCTCCACTGGTAGCGACACATTTGTATGTCCCCGCATTATCAGCCCCAGCTTTGTACAGAGTGAGGGTGGAAGATGACTCATCGTTACGGGTTACTGTTATGTCTGGTCTATTCGGTTCTATCCTGTCCCCAGTTGGTCCAAACCAGTCTATGTGCTTGGCAACGCCTACAACTAAGGGCACAGACAGAGCACAGCAGTAGATAAGAAAACAGGCATCTATAAGGTGCACGTTTCACATCAGTGAAGTCAACCAGTGCCCACGGACAAAAACTGTAGGTGGTTCATGCTGCTGCATGATCTGAAGTCTGCAGTTTATACATTTAAACTGTGTATGACAACCAAGATGTCAGAGAAAAATGTGCTAAAAATAAACTCAAAAGGTTTTTTTTAAAAGGTCTTCTGCCATTTATTCCCTTTAGATCGATATGAAGGACAAGAAACAAAGGACAATGAAGGAAGCATCATGCAGCAAAGGCTTGATAGATTGATAAGACTGAAAATCAGGACATTTCAGCCACATAAATACACAATACAAATCCTAGACCTTCAAGTAACCAGTAAACCACTTAATAGATAATAAAAGAAGGCTGGTATAGTGATGTGGTTTTACAATGACACCCTGCAAAAAAAGAATGAGTGTTCGATGAGGCAGAGTATTAAGATATTATTTGAACTTTTGAGTACCATTTAAGATTCAAGAGTGTTTGTTTGTCACATGCTCATACAGTATGTGGAGCGTAATGAACCCATAGTGCTTGCATATCATCTTGAATCAGATTATGAAAATATTATTTCATTTTCATTACTATTTAGTATATAGTAAATACAAAACACAAGCCTGTGCTGGAATTTTGTCTGTTTAAGTCACGTATGGTATATCTGTACAACAATATTAAAATGTACACAGGTGAAAACTAAAAGCAAATAGTTAAGGTGCAGTTTAAAAGAAAAAAAAAAAAAAAGATTCTAAGCATGACCAACTTACCTTCGCACACAAAGAATTTGGACTCTCCCAGACTAATCTCACCGTGAGTTGGTGTGATCTGCACTTCCAGTGAAACTACAACAGAGAAAAAGCACACAAAACAAATGAGGCTGTGTTTAAGAATGCAGAAATGCTTGACACTGTTTCAGCATTGGGAGATATTACAATTGTTTCAAACACTGATATTTTGTTTATCCCTAAAGATGATTTAGCCTGCAGCTGTTGACATATCAGTGTATGCCACCTACAGGCAAGGACAGAAGCTGGCACCTGCAGGCAATCAGTACTACAACTGTGGGATTTTGATGATTTCTATTTAGCAAACTTTGCTACTACAACTACTAGAAAGAGCACAGGCATAGTCACAGACAGAATTACACATTTCTGTTTGATTATTTACATCCATTGGAGACTGGTGTCAGACAAACGTTTTTATTAGTAGTTCGTTTTTGGTTAACAGGTGGAATAAGTATTAAAGTTGGAGTGTAGGACATTTAGACATAAATGAACATCCATTGCATATACATATATATATATATATTCACAAAACACAAAAGTCTCAAATCTGATTTTTGTGGCAACATTTCCACGCTGGCACACCAATAGCGATGTATTTTACATCAACCAGTTGTTATTGGTTTATCAGAGCTGAAGAGGGAAGCAAACTTAGCCCAGAAGATGGAGTATGCAGCAGCAGCAGCCTGGAATATGTATGGTGGCAAATTCTATAGTGTCCAAAAAAAGTTTCTGATGTTCCAGATGAAAGAAAAAAAAAAAAAATCACCCATATCTTTGAACATACATCAATATTTTTACAGCAACTGAAAAGGCAGTTGGAACATTGAATCTGTTAAAAGCAATGTCCATGCCCATCAAGAAAATAATTATGCCAGTTTTGGCCCTAGCAGCCCTATTATTACAGAAAAGATGGACATTTCCTATTCCTCTATTGCCTGCAGTCTTCTTGTCCTTTCAAGAGAAATAACATCAAGCCAGCACTGCAATTATTCAGTTAAAATTCAGCAGCGGGCAAGAACCAGCGATGTGCTCCCAATGTACCTTGAAATAAATTATTTTTAAAACGCTTCAAAAAATTCTTAGAAATCATGCTGTCTGGTGAGCGTCTCTCAGTGGGAGCCTGCACTTCATCAAAGACTGGATGAAAAGGACAGATTTCTATTATTTGACACGGACGGTAGTGCGGCCGGAAACACTTCCGTGCTTAATTAGAACAAAGCACCACTTGTTTCCTCTCGGGGGAGGATAGTCAGGGTTCCAGTGGTTGACTAAGAACTGTGACTAAATGGGCCAAAAATTCAGCATTATAATATGCATGAGCAAGACTGTGTTAATGTACATGCACCACACTGGAGGTCAGGGTGAAAAAGGACAGACGGGGCCTTCAATTGGCACAGGGAAAGAGGACAATGAGGTCTAATAGAGATGTCTGGAGCGAAAACGCAGAAGGATTTCTGTAATGTCAACTCGTGGAGCGAATAGGCAATTATTGATTTATTTTAGCCAATCTATTTCAAGTCTTCCCATAAAAGTGACATTCCCTCTAATGTGAAAATGTAAAGATAATTCCATCTTTGAAGCCCAGTAAAGTCAAAGGTTAACGGAAGTCTATTGCCAATCTCCTGTTCTTTATTTCTACTAAATTAGAGCAAGAAAACTGTCAAGACAGTCTCATTATTTTTGCAGCATTTATTTAGTTTCATCAGATTTTAATGAGCATTTTTGTCTCATTCAGTTTTGGGGGATTTAACTGATAAACTGTAAATAAGCCTTTCTAAATGTGTTGAAGATGAACAATTACTAAAATACTAGGCGCTGACAGATAAAATTCAAAGTCCCATATGGTGAAAATCTATTTTTATAGTATTTTTGTGGCTGTAATAAATATGGTGGTGTAAAGTTAAACACAGTTACGATATGAGAGCGTTTAATTCTACCATTCGTCTAGCACCCCCACGAGTAGACAGCCTCCCGACTTTACAAAAGGTGAACCTGAGGAAAGAATAGATTAAAATTTGCACAATTATGCCCCCTCACTACCATACCGCTGCTTCCACAATAAACAGGTGTCTTTCAGTCTAGCAGGTTTACTTACTTTCTGGAGCTGCTTTTTCTAATCCTGATATGTCTCAGCCAAGGGCAAAGCAAACCAAATGTTCTGCTTTTGGCTGATTTAAGATGACTTTAAGACTGATTTGAAACCAATAAACTAGGAATTAGAGGGTTACTGTATTTTCATGTCATCTGTTGTGCTTCAGGGCAATCAAAACCAGGATTTGCTTCTCTCCAGCTCTCTGAATTCACATTTACTGCATTTTAACACAGACAATTTCCAATAAAGCTTTTCTTGTTTACATATTTTTCTGTTTTTGGTCTCTAACAATGGAATAACTACCAAACGGTGACTGAAACACAGCTCATTAAGACTTAATGTTAACTAACAGTCACTTTAGAGCCATTTCCAAGCACTGCTAACGCACTGATTTTACAATCACAACACTGTCTCACAAACCCATTACATCAGTTAAATACAACCGATTTGCTGTTAATGTGTCGATATCCATGTAAAATGATCGCTTACCCAGAAAGTTAGCAGTGATCGAAAGTCACTTGTACAGCTGATTTAGAACAAGGCTTAAACCAGAGGTAAAGAAGTCACAGTAAAATGAAGCATCTTTGCAGTATTTTAAGCTGAAAATGAAGACATTTTGGGAACATTTGAGACTTGTATTAATTTGCTTAAAAGGGGCACAATATGGGACCTTTAGGAGTGACTATCATTCGGTAAGACTAGCAAGAAACGAGTAGAAATTACAAGATTGTTTAGGAGGAAAAAGGGGGTCGTATGATCCACAAGATGCTAGAAAATAGTGACAAATGCCCACCATCACTTTAGATAAACAGTGTACCAAATAACATAATCTATTTTAGAACTAAATGGCAAAAAAATTACATAGAACTGATCAAGTATTGGGCGTTAAGGTGTCTCAGTGGTTAGTACTGCAGTTCTCCCCGTGCAGCGTGGGTTCTCTCCAGGTTCTTCCTCCCACAAGATCCAAAAACATGTTGAGGTTAATTGGTGATTCTAAATTGTCCGTAGGCATGAATGTGAGTGTGCTTGGTTGTCTGTCTCTAAGTGTAGCCCTGTGATAGACTGGTGACCTGTCCAGGGTGTCTCCTGCCTTCACCCTAAGTCATATGGGATAGACTCCAGCCCCCCGCGACCCTAGTGAGGATTAAGTGGTGTCTAGATAATGGATGGATGATCAAATATGAGTTATTTTTCTGTTTATTGATTAAGCATTTCAGCTCTTAACCCATAAACCTCCCAGAATTCCATACACGACGTAATTACTGACACTAAAAAGGCAAAATCTGAACAAAAGAAAGTGTTTTCTACAATTTCCAGAGACTGACATTAAGTGTGATCTGTCATGCCATCAGAGTGGCAGTGAAGGCAGGTACTGAATGCAGCCGAGGAAAATCACTGTAGTTTGCACTGTCTCTGCTGTCAGATTATCCTCATTTGAGTCAATAACACAAAGCACAAAGCACTATAATCGACAGTTATTCATTTATATGAGAGTTTTATTTTTAAAAGAGTCAAACTGTTTCATTTTTGTGGGCAGGATTTGATCTTCAAACTGATGGAACATCAAACCCTGACATCAGCGCTCCACTCACTTTTTCATACAAACAACTAAGAAAAAAACAATGTTATGCTAATTTCATGGAAAAAGGTTTATGGATTTTGTTTTAATTGCACCGAGGAAAAAAGGACGGTTGGTATTCATTTAGTCAAATGAACGGGCAACTCATCTGCAGAGAAAAGCAAGCTGATGATGATTATTCAAGTTAAGAAGTTTGTTTGTACAGCCCATTATCACTTTCAGTGTCTGAAAGGGTTTTACAACTATAATAGTTTCCAACCCAGGCGGAGATTTATCAAGAAAAACACCCTGAAAAACACACACACACACACACACACACACAAACACACAAATATTAACTATCTGAGAAACAACAAATACAACAATTAGGCTGCAGAAAAACACATGGGAGTTCAGCACTGATGTAATAAACCCATTTATAAGAAATTCAATAAAGTATGAATGTCCAGTAAAGGTTGAGTGGAATAAGCCCACACAGATAAGACGATGAAAAGATCCATTATCAGAGCTGGGGAGGTGAAGTGGCAATTCAGTAGAGGGGTGAGATGTGGGGCAACTGATGAGTTTACATTACAAAGAAGAAATGCCACAGATACACCACCATCACTGGCTTCCATTAGTGTTTCACACATTGACTGAAATAGCCAGGCTCTATGTGCGTTTATTTGGTCCTGAAGTTAAAGCAAAAATATTTGTTCAGACACTTATTCCCTTTGACATTTTTGCAGGGAAGAGACATAAATGGTGCGGTTAAAAATGAAGCGAGATAACTAGCTCAGGATTTACTGTAATATGCCAGAGAAATGCAGAAGCTGCAGAACATACTAAATGCTTACCCTAGCACTGTGTTTGAGGAGTAAATTAGGTGCAAAAGTGAGTTACTCATTAGCGGTGGCATATGACAGTCTTTTAGGGTAGAATCACAATGTGCTCATGACTTGTATTGAATGTGGTTGCGTAAATAGAATGCCTCTAATTGTGAATCAGTGCTAAAGACCTAGCTCACAAATATGCATCCTGTTTTCACTGAAAATAGTGATTTGTATCTCTGCTGCTTTCAGTCGCTGATAACTAGGTAGCCCCGGCCCATCCCTTCGCATGTTTCCCTGCCTCCAGCCTGGCCAGCTCCCTGCTGTGGCAGTCCCCAATGTCATTCAGCTGCCTCACCAGTGAGTCTCTTGTCTTGCAGACAGACTCCAACTTCGCTCACTGAGACTGCAGCTGGCAACAGCAGTCAGCTATTTACAGACAAACTTCATGGCATCCTTGCTCTGCTCTGTAGCCTCAGTGAGCTTGGCATAACAGCATGTGAACCAGTTCCCCACCTGCTGCAGGTTCTGGTTGGAGTGGCTCTCCAGCTAACAGTGGATCTTCCACAGTGTAGAA